TTGAAATCTCAAACGCCTCGTTGGAGATTTCTCATTTTCTTCCTGGGTACTCTGACGTGGGGATACCCAGAGGCCACACCCTCTGCCAGCCTTTCACGAAACAAAGCTTCCCAAACCTTTCAGTAATTCATGCCGGATATGTACAGCGTAGGACACTGAAGAACGATGCTGTTCCTACTTTGTTTGGTCCAGCGGGAGATTCGGGTACACAACCTGTAAGTATTCATTGTTGTTTGTGTATTTATGATGTTTAAAACAAACAAGGTATCTACCACGACTGTTTAAATGGGTAAACGTTTTTCGGGCTACTACGTTGGGATCACGGAGAAATGCTCTCCGCAGACCCATTCTCACAGCGTTATAAACCTTTTTCTTACTCAATATCAAGCCACACTTATTGTTTTTACTTCGGCTGTGAGTGTTTGTGTGTGCTCAGGATGAGTTTCGCTTGTTCTCGCTGTATCGCCGACACGGAAGCCTGTCTGCTCAAGCTGCGAGCAGCAACGAGCCTCTCAACGTTGCGACCAATCAGAGCACACTGGGCTCACAGGGAGGGGGGGGGGCAGGAGCTCCAACAAGCCGTTTAGGACAGAGAGTGAATACCGGTGAATACACATACTTTACAGAGATGCTGTATGCGAAACCAATGTGAGTTTGGAAAATTGCACAATATAAATCTATTTTAGTTGACCTCAACAATGGAATTATGATCAGTAGAAATGGCCATGACATGGGACCTTTAAGTCTTAACCTGTCCAAGCTCCCGTTGACATGCAGCCTATCTAATGCATCCTTTCATGCTCTGCCACATCCTCACCCAATGGCATGATGCTGATGACTGCCAGCTCCCCAGAAAAGCGTCTGATGTGACAACTTCTGCTCTACAGCTGCAGCTGGGCTCTTGGTGAGAAAGTGAAATGTGTGTTGAGAGACACTAATGCAACACATTAGTTTGCATGAGCAGGTATGCAGCAGGTGGCATCAAACGGATTTATCATCAATGTAGTGCGATAGAGAGATGGGCTCCGAGGTTTCAGATGTAGGAAAATATTTAAAAAAATAAAGAAGTCAAATCAAAGGTGCTTTATTCTTATTTTATTACGTTCCCATGAAACTATGCATCTTGCAAATGTAGCAATACCTTATACTGACTTTGATCTTTGGAAGAAAACCAAACTTTGAAAATGTCTATGAAGTTGTGTCTTGTATAGTCTTCACCGCAGTGCAGATATAATAAATCTACTTTGATAACAAAACTTGTTTTCTCAGACGGGATTACAGCACCAGGCAGGCCTGTCTGTATTTGGCTGTTGCCTTTTTGCTTGTGCCCAGGGCTTCATTAAACCCATATCAAAGAAAAATGTTAAGATCTTGGTTTTCATTGAGTGCACAAAGGCATGTGTGCCAATGCCGAGACAGAATAACAAGTTGCATCATGCATCATGGCACAACGGGGGCATCTCAGTGAATGCTGTAGGAAATGTAAAACAAGTGTTTCTCAGACAGAGACAGGCCATCAGGCTCTTCGATTATTTTGCAACGTGAATCACACAGCCCCCCATTTAGAAAGTAATGTCAGTATTGATTAGCTCACCTCGCCCTGAAAAAGGTACTTAAACTGGACCTAATCAGCCATGCTCACATATTTATTTATCTGATCTTGATGAGATAAGGTAGACAACTTATATAATGCATCCAAAAGGTATCACTTCAGCAAGTCAGTATTAGCTTTGAGAGGATAACGGTGAATATAAATGTCACCATTTATTTTTGCCTTTACGTAAGATATTGTGATTGAAAAATAATAAAAATAATCCAGACACCGACTAACGTGTGTGATTTGCAATCTTTTAATAAATGTTAATGACTGCAGTAAAGCTGTCAGCAAACAAGGAGTGATTCCAATCCAATATACTAACCCCTAACCAAAGTGTAGCAGTTGTAGTTCTGAAGCACAACAATCCCCTTCAAAGTAAAATGTCATGCGTGAGCAAAATATCTTCTATTATTTATCATTGTTAAGTTAGACTCAACTTTAGGAAAATAAGGAAAACAGTTAAGCGAGTAATGACAAACAAGGGTATGAAAATCATAGTTGTGAGTATTTTTTCTTAATTTCTGTAGCAGTGGGACTTAACATCAATCCTGCAGTAAGTTCTGCATAATTATGTTGTATTGTCTTTAACCATGTGCAGAAATACCAACAGTATATACTAATTTGTAAAGAAAATTCTTGACCTCAATATATTCGATTTTTTCCCCCCAAACAGTACAATGGGTGTTTTCAGCAAGACAAATCCATGAAACAGGATTAACAATTAAGACATGTTACTCTTAACTTCAGGGCTTCTGTCTCTCAGCTTTGAAGTCAAGTTTGTATAAATTCAAGGTTTACCTAATTAATAACCATTAAAACAACAAAAACAAATATACTTCGCCACATTTCACATAACATGCTGAGGAATGATAAGTAACAATCTTTTCAAAATGAGTGAATATTTGCAAAAAAACATAAAGTTTATCAATTTGAACATGAAATATCTTGTCTTTGTAGAGTATTCAAATGAATATAGGTCGAAAAAGATTTGCAAATCATTGTAACCTATTTTTATTTACACAACATGTAATATTGCAATAGTATGTCGTATTGCTAACCATTTCCTTCATTTTAAGCTACAACATGCTCTATTAAGGCGTGATCAGATCACAGTGGGGGGGTGGCAGCTACCTGTGGTGTACAGACTGGCAGGATCCAAGGTATCCGGCAGCGGCTTTGCGCCCTGCTGCTGCCAATTCAAAATACAGAACATCAATGTTGCCGGGTGGCAGCCACAGCGGTTCCCACTCGCTGTCTGAAACCCCCTTCAATCCCACCTTCAAACCTCTCATTTTTGAACTGGATACTTCCAACGGCAGAAATGGACGTCAATGAGCACAACACCAGACCACCGTGATCCCTGGACAAATCTGAGATGTGGGCAGTGATTAAAAAAGGTCTTGGACCAGAGTAACATGTTCTCTGGGGCTGCAATAGATATGATATTATTATTAATTGTTTTATTTCATTAATTAAATGCTTTGAGGCTTTGTGTAAATTGTTATGTAGATAAACCCCTTGCTCTCTATACCAGTATTTCAGTTCCTGTGACAAGCCAGAGATAAGACTCATTATGATCTATTTTTAGGGCAATTAAGCCTATAGTCAGATGAGGTAACATCTTGAACATGTATGCAGTAACATTCTAATTGCTTCTTCAATAGTAAGGATTAGATTTAAAGAGTTAATTATTCAATTAAAAAAACCTTGTTGCAATTTAAAGCTGTTAGTTGTAAAAAAGGAAGTTGCAAATGACAAACTAATAATATGAGCATCGTCTTTATTTGAAATTGATTAGGTATCAGACTTAATAAAATGCTAAATCACATCCCCAGTAAACCCAGTATGACGAATAATTATTTAAACTGATCATATTTTCCATTTATAATAAAATAACATGTAGAAGTTTCTCTTGATGGAGAAGGAGAAATTCATATTGTTTTAGCAATTTCCAAAAGTTTGACATTTCACTCTAGGAATGTTTCATGTGTATATCATGAAACATCTTTGATTTAACAAGATCCAATCTACCTTGAGCCTTTCACCAATCTACCGTGCCATGTCCAATATAGTAGCGACAACATATTTCAAATGTTATTTAAAAGGAGAAATATAAATAACTATTTGCATCGCCATTCGGTGTTCCACACTTCGCATTTCATAATGTCTTCAGAGCCGTCTGATAATCTACAGTTGCTATAAAGTAGATCATTTTTACGGCAACGTCTGCTTGGACACAGCTATCGGAATTTAGCTGGATCCACATTAGGCAACATTTCAACCTCTTTTTTGATTAGCTGTATTAGCAATTCAAATAAAACAACCTGCTCATGTTGTTAATGTAAAACAGTATCCATGTAGTTACCACTTAAACTGTTTTAAAAAAAAAAGGATTAACAAGACATTCTGTAATAATTGGCTACATCATGCTCCATTGCTCTTCTTTCCACTGTGCCATGTCCTCCCCTCTAACCTCACCAGTACACTTTGGGACTGCTGAATGGGCACAGTGGTTGGCATGGAGCTGTGAGCTGCTCTTATCATGTTAAGCACAATGACAGAGGGTTGGTACAAGGGAACAGCTTTAATGATTCTGGATGTGCGCCCCAGGGCTGCAATCACCCTGACCAACCCTTGTATACCCATGTTTAGCCCCGGGGCTGCAAGTGTTTAAGCTTCTATTTTGAGAATGTTCTTGAACAACAAAAACAGACTTTTTAAATAGCTGTGCACAACACTGTGATGTACCTTATAGAAATCACAACAACAACTGTTTTAATGCAACAGCATGAGGGTAAACTATAGTGCCCTAGATTGGAAACCTTCAAGAGGTTCGCACTGTAGCACATCAACGCTAACATTCATTAGTTCCATTTATAATACTGAGTTGACAAAGTGATGTCAAAAGCAATGTTATTTTCAAATTTGTTGACAGATTAAAAAATAGCTTTATGTGAAAAGAACAGTGTATTCTGCTGGCATGTTTAAAATAAAAGCCACCCACGGATTTACAAGCCATCAATACATCCACGGGTGAGATTATAAGAGGGAATCTGACATTGTGCGCGGGTGCCAGAAGCTCTTACAATCATGTCACAGTTCCCACAGTGTGTCTCTTCCCTCGAAAAAAGTATAAAAAAATACACAAGAACAGGAAGGCACAAAGGGTAAGGTTATCATCTTGGTTTATACATGCATTTACCACCATATTTTTGTCAGAATAACTTTCCTTTCTAACCAGATAGTGTCTGGCACTCCTTGACCTGCATCTGTTCAATTACTAAGAATATTCATAGCTAACACGTGGTTACCAAAATCTATAACGAGTCATGCATGAAGCCCTGCTGCTTTCCCTGAGGAACACATTTATTCATACCTAAAGAGATATGAAAGATAAACTTACCATACTGGAACAGAGGCAAAGAACATATCCGCTTTCTGCCAGGGGAGAGGATAGGGGCCTACGCAGATTCAGTCTGAAACACAAAAAGGAGAAGAGTTCCGTAAGGACAAGCAACATCAATGACTTGTGATTTTACACAAGGCGGACAAAAGAGAATTTTCGAATGTCAGCATACATGAAGCTTGTGTGTGTCATCCACTAATTGTACTGTATGTCACATTGGATAAGAGCATGCTGAGCAGATGAATGCTTAAAACAGATATGTAAATCCTAGGCTTTATATAACTCCCATAAATCTAACCCTGTATATTAAGGGACAGAGAACATTTACACAGTACAGTATTGCTATTTTAACAGATAATATCCTGCAAGGCTTCATTGATAAAACATACAATTATGCTTGAACCACCCTGAACACACTCAGAGATGAACCAAGTTGAATATTCACATAAAGATTTATTTAACATTTTGAGTAGTGATAACCACACCCTAGTTCTATCAAATCCTTTGTGAACTGTTAACCCCCATACTTTTCTGATTTGTGTTGGTATAGGAAAGAAGAATAAACATAAGAATGTTATCCGTATAGTGAGTGGCCACTCCATCAAATTCTTCATCAATCCACTTTATGAAAAAAGCTTTTGTGGATATATTGTCCACATTCAGTGTAAACGTGTATCAGGACTGTCATTGCTGTTGGATTTCCCAGACATCACAATAAGAACCTGTGTTTATTTCCATTGAATTGCTTTTTCAGTCTCTGTTTTTTTGTCCCATAGGAAGTCTAGCAGCAGCGGCTTAAGGTGGCTTCTACTGCTGTCAACCTGAACCACTTTAAATACTAGAAATATGTCTCCGTGTAGCAAAATTCAACTATAAAAACGCATATATTTGTCATTTTGGAAGGCAACACAATTTATGCTTACTGTGGAGTGTTTACTTTTTGTGTGAAATGTTTTAGAACGCTAACAATGAGGAAGCTTTTGGTTGGTGTTGCTCACTCCTGAATACTTAACATTGGAATTTTCAACTTTTTTTTTTTCAGTTTACTATGTCTATTATATTTAATGAGCTTATGTTTGAAGTGAAAAGGAAAACAGAGAAAGAAAACACAATCTGCCATTCACTGCATCTCCGGCTCTGACAGCAATGTTTTTGAAATAATGAGATCTCTCGCATGGTTTACTCTGAAAGGTATGAGCCAGCAGAAAAGATGATGACAGGAAAAGTCAAACAGCCATGCAGGTTTTTAACACAGAGCTGTCTTAATGATTGCATCCAAGCTAGCTATTGGCTGTAGTCTTCCCACACTAACCACCATCCTGTCGGTTTCAATCACAGCCCATATGACAAATTATTAAGGTGGCAGACCGAGATCCTGGTGTATTTTTTTCCCAAATCTGCAGGATCATTTTGGCTTCTCTACACAAAGAGAGGAGAATAGCACTGTCCTAGGAGGGTGTTTGGGTGGAGTAAGGGTGGGATGATGAGGAGAAAGGGAAGGAGAAGAGGGGGATGAGACCCCGTTGGGATGGAATCTTGAGTATGCCAAGGTCAGCACAAAACACAAACACAGACACACTTACACGTAGCAACACACTGCCCACATAAGCTCCTCCCTGAGGAAAACCTGCTGAGAACTGCTGAATTACCACTGGGCTCACACTTGGCTATAGGTGCCTGAAAAACCTCAGAACACAAACACATTTTCTTATTCTCGTGTCTTTACGTTGGCATTGGTCATTTTTTAGAACTTCACCTTCACCCTCACTGCATTCTGGCGTGGTCCAACCTCTCTTTGTGAATATGTAAGGCTTTTGTTTGAGCGGAAGTTGTCTTGTAACAAAACAAATGCCATTCATGGGGGCTGATAGTTAATACTCGAATGCCTTTCTTTGAGTTACCGCAGGTGTATCTGTGGAGGCATAAATGAACTTGTCTTGGATGTGGAATTACTGTAGTGTTAGTTTATTCCCGAACAAAAGCAAGTACTAAATTATTGACTTTAAATGCTTTCACTTTGACAGGTGGGAATAAATGAGATGATCAAAATATTGGCTCTAGACAAAAGATATTTCACACATGAAAGATCAAGTCTCAAGAAAATACAGTTATTACAATTGTGCCTCCTGTACACAATCACCAAGCGCTTGTCTATACACAGAAGCTGTTATTGATGAACCTAAAGTACTGATATATTTATATATTTTCATTTATTTGCCATTTACGCTGCCATATTCATTTGCTAAATCATCACTTGCAATACACATCAGAGGGCATTACAATCCCTCCCTCTTGTAACTGCCATATATTTTTATGAATATCACTTTTATTTTGTACTGATCAAACGTTAAATGTATGTTGACATTCTACAGGATGTCCAACAGGGCCTTACATACTAAAAGCTGATTTATATGACCTGCTACCTGCTGAGGAGACGGAGGTGTTTAAGGGTGCAGGGGGCACTTCTTCAGACCTTCTATGACTCTGTGGTGGCTTCAGCCATCTTTTATGGTGTGGCCTGCTCGGGCAGAAGCACCTCGGCTACTGACAGGAAGAGACTGAACGGACTGGTAAGGAAGGCTAGCTCTGTCCTGGGGAGTCTTCTGGACACTGTGGAGGTGGTGGGAGACAGGAGTCCTCACTGTGGAGGTGGTGGGACACAGGAGTCCTCACTGTGGAGGTGGTGGGAGACAGGAGTCCTCACTGTGGAGGTGGTGGGACATAGGAGTCCTCACTGTGGAGGTGGTGGGAGACAGGAGTCCTCACTGTGGAGGTGGTGGGAGACAGGAGAATGGCAGCCAAGCTGTCCTACCTGCTGGACAACGTGTCCCACCCCCTCCAGGACACCCTGTCTGCATTGTGCAGCTCCTTCAGTGACAGGCTGCTGCACCCGCGGTGTCTCACGGAGAGATACCTGCAGCGGTCAGACTGTACAACCACCACGGCCCCTGGTAGACCCCAACACACAACAAAAACTGCAGTTATAAATATACACACCGAAAATAGCTGTGCAATTTATTCTACCACCTTTTATACTGCTGCTATATCGCTAAACTGTTATTGGTACTGGATGTGTATTTTGTATATATATATTGTAGTTTCTAGTTTTTTTATCTTTAATATGAATATTTGTTTCTTATGCATGCTTCTTGAGAGATATTAAGCTGTCTTTGGCTCTTTGCTGTAACTCTTGTAAATGTGACTGTTGACTAGGAAATCGTCTCCACTAGTGCCATTTCAGAGCCTCTTTTTAAATGTGTAGTAAACACAAGGAAAAATCTAATTCACCAAAACACTGCAGTCTTACCCGAGAAGGAGAATCCTTAAATGTACTCTAAAATGTTATTTAGTATTTCAATATAATGCATATTGTCCAATAAAGACTCATCCTTTAGTCCCCTTATGACATTTCAATGGGAGACAAAGAGATTGTTGTAGTTTGTCTGCATATTGAACTAGTTATCTTTCGTAAAACATTCATGCTTATTCAGAATAAAGGGCCCAGTGCAGATGGGGAGAATACGGGGAAACATTTAAACATCACACGGGTATTTACCCATTATAAACTGAGTGCCTTTTGTAATCCTCTCAAAGACCTCCCTTAACTACCAGAGTGCTTTTTGTGTTTCTACATTTTTTGGTGGCGATATGGAGGGAGTTTTGGGAAACTAATCATTTCGACCAGTCTTTACCTTCCAACTCCTTATAAAGAGATATTAAAAATATTTAAGCATACAGATATCTTAATACATATTTTCTGTGCCCGGATTGCATTCATCATCATTTTTCTCAGGAGTTCCCTGAAGGCAACCGGCGCTAAATTATTGATGGGCCTGAAAGCTGTTTGGCTGTTAGGGAGTGCCTGCAACTCTCTTGGGAAACAAAAAGCACCAGCTTCTTTGAAACCAGCGGAAGCGGCAAAGTCTCGGTTAGAATTTGTGTTGTGTTCCTTCATGCCAAACATTTAGCGCTGAGACAATGCAATACAGTTTCATTACAATGCCAGAGCCTCGCAGGCGGAGACATCAAAGGCTGGGTTAGTCTCTGCTTCAGTCAATAAAGAGATGGAGATATAGTTAAGACTAATTTCAAAGAGAACTACTGACAAATTCATTATAAACATGCGAGGAGCTGAAATAATGAAATACGACAGAATGCACCTCGAGGTAGAAAACTCTGTGGATGTCAAACCTAAAATGGAACCCATGTTTTGTAACCCTCTTCTTGCATCTCTTAAAGCTACAAAGACCCCTAACATGCTGGAGCAAGTTCATCAATAGTGTATAATGACTGATGACACCATTTCTGTTTTAGATCCAAAGTCGTGTACTTCCAAATGTATTCAGGTACAAGACAATCTGTCCTGAGTCAGGAACTTTTCTAAAATAACAACTGGGTACAAGTTGGTCTTTCATTAATTATCAATCATGTTACTGCAAGCCGGTTGTTTTTATGTTGTGGCTAATATGTTGCAAACTTTGGCAACAACTTCATCATGTCAGAAATAAGGAATCTCATGATTAAACCCCTTGAGATGCATCTTCTTATTTTCAAACAAACACTCAAATCTAGGCCCAACTGCCCCAGATCAGACGAATAACTGAATTGTTTATGGCTGACGTTCACATTAAACAGTATGCAATAATGGTTGGCCTCATAATTTGCATCTTGAACTGAAAAAAAAGGGTTATCTTCAATGCGTTTAAATATGATGACAACCCTGATTGAGATATTAGTTGTTCAATAAAATATCTGGAGCATTCTTGTAAACAGTGTCACATTTCCCACTGGGACCTATGCAGCATACTTTTGGGAGGCTTTAAATCTCAAGAATCAGTATGTAGGCCACAGTACAAAGGCTTTAGAACACAAAGAACACGGGATTCAGTCAAGGTTTTTCAAAATGCCACAGTAGAGACCGATAGTGTTTGACAGAAGTGTACCCTGCGGAACAAAAATGGCTGTATCTAGTAAAGCCTATCTCGTACAGTGTTAGCATTTTGAAGTGTCCCACCCTACAGCGAGGATGGAGCACCTTTGACATGGTTGCGGCAGATTTTCAGCATCACA